ATCGAAGGATTTAGAAGACAAGTTGGCGAGTATAGGCGGGCTTTCGATAAACTCTAGTCGAACCAGTACTGGCCAGACAAGATGTTGTCGTAAGTAAACGTATGCTCGCCAACTTTAGGTACGGCTCAAAATTCGAATAAAGGTTATTCGGTTGCAAAATAATATTGGCAATCTTTATATACCAATTCAAATCATTTCTTGCATTATTATCAGCCCATTAACGCAGTGACGAAGAAATTTTGAAATTTTAGACCGGTTATGTAGCCCAATACTTCTAAATAAGAATTCACATCGCATTTATAGATAGCGTAGATGTCAGTTTCTTTGATAGAAAATTCAGGAAAAAGCTGAATCGTAAACGCATGTATTCCGATAATACTATATATTGAACTATTTTTGGTGAATTCGGACAATTTAAAATCATATATTTCAAAGTGAAAAATAAGAGACCCTTCGAGTCTCTCTTTCGTAAAATGTAGACAAACGTAGCAAACTGTAATTGAAAGATTGCTAGGGACAACTGTTTCCAAACAAAACATTAATTTTGCCTGAAGGATACATTTCAAAAACAGGAATCAATGATGGCCGTCCATGGGCGCACTTGTAAGGTTGTGTACATTTCTTCAGTTGATCTAGGAGTGTCTGTTGTTCTGATCGTGTAAGTTCGTCGCCAAAACGTATTGCTGATTTGCATGCTTTTGTTTGTAGAACAGTAGTAACCGCGGCGCTGAGTAAAGGATAGGACATAATCACAGCTTATGTGTACAAGGAGAATTGTACATAATTTGTTGAATCTTCACTAAAAAGACTTCATGTTATGTTATCATATCATAGAAGTCTTTCAGACAACCAAGTTTCATGTAAAATGACAATTGTACAAATAACCCAATCAAAGGATGTGCATTTCTATGTAATGCTAGACAGCCTAGAAATACCCGAAGAAAAGCCGCATTCTGTATTTAGAATTAAGGCCAAAGGGTAGAGCTGTGTAGTCTCAGCAGCTTGTGTGGCTGATAAATGAGAACTAGCTTTTCCCCATTCAATGCTGTCTAATTTAGTTCCTTTCTAAGCGCATATGCTTTTGTTACCTTACCTTTTGGCAAACGTATGTGGAAATTTAGAAACTCGACAAAGGGATGACCGGGTGTTAGAAAATTTCAGATGACAGTGCAGAGAAGCAGACTAAACTAAGTCTAAGGAAAAAGACTTGTCGAGCACTGGATCAATTTGTTTATTGTCCTGAGCTTTC